AACGACGTGCAGCGGTAGGTGCCATGCCATCTTGCATGGCTGGTGCGGTGACCGGCGTGCTGTGTGTTGGGTGCACGCCGACAAGCTATTCTCCGTGTGGTGCTGCCGTGTGGGCTGGGGGCCCAAATGTGAACGCGGCAGGGGAGTGTCAACGGGAGTTGTGGTAGGCCCCGTCCTCGCTTGGGCGGAGCCGACCTCGTTGTCGGGTGTACGGGGGAGTGCAGCCAACCTGCAGTAGTGGGCAAGCTGGTCGACGAGGATGGTCGACCTGCGCGGTGGCCACAGCACGGGCGCCGACTTCTGGGCGCCGGTTTTGGGGTGGTCGACCAGGCGGCCGACCTAACCTGGTGGTCGACAAAGAGGGCGCCGACGTCGACCTGGATGGGGGAGCTGGGCGTCGAGTAGCAGGGCGTCGAGCAAGATGGCACCAGGCCAGTAGGTCGACCTGGGAGGACGCCGGGCGTCGACTAGCTGGAGCCGACATAGGGGACGCCGGTCACGGGTGGTCGGCAACGGACTGAGCTGGTCGACCGGGCGGGGTTGCCCGGGCGACCGGGATACCCGGGCGATGTGTGCGAAGGTCGCCAGGGTGGTTTCTGCCAGACCGACCTCGGAAGTGGTATTTCGAGGTCGACATGGCTGGTGGGCGCGGTCGCTAGCGTGGAGTCGACCCGGGATCTGCGCTGTGCACGTGACAAGGAGTGGTGCACCAACCAGCTGCGCGCACCTGCGAAGCAGGTGTACCGTTGTTCTGCGGGTGCAACGCTGTGCAGCCGACTTGCTGCAGCGTTGGCACACCGTGGACTTGCAACGTTGGCAAGCCGCGACTTTGCCCTGCTGGAGCGCGGCCGACCAAGTCGTGCTGGCACGCGGTCGACCGTGTTGCGCTGGCAGTCGACCGACTTGCATGCTCATTCTGATGTAGTCTGTGTTGGCATTGTTGTATCAATCATTGTTGTGAAATATTTTCCTGGTAAAACTCTTGCCAATTCTCCCCATGAACAAGCAAGTAGTGAGCACACAAGGAAACGATTAAGTGAACGAATGCAGAGATCACTCTTGCCCGTGCCTAGCCCGTAATCTAGCTCCCGTTAATTAAGCTATCTCTGTAGCGTGTGCGCCTGCTGCTCGTGGGCCGCGGCAGTGGGCGTGCGTAGCTCTGGCAGGGGGGCACGCGGCTCTGGCAGGGAGCGCGCGCTGCTCAAGCGGGGCGCGCGCGGCTCTGGCAGGGGACGCGAAGCCCTTGCACGGGCGGCTAGGAGGGGAGGGCGTAGGGGGTAGTAGGAGGGGGGGGGGGGGGGGTGGGGGGGGTGTGCGTCCTACGCACGACGAACGGGAGGAGAGCCTAAGGGACAGGCGCCTCGGGAGAAGCTAAGGGAGGGAGCGGAAGCGTGGGAGGTAGGAATTGTTACCTACTCTAATACCATATTAGAATTGCATGAGTTTTGAAACCGAAAGCTAGAATAGTGAACCCCGTCCCAACTTGAAAGATTGTCGCGGAGCGAAAATGACACTAGGCTGATAAAACACTGTTTCAAACCTCTCTTTCATCGCCCTTTCTCTCTCCCGTCGCCCTTTCTCTCTCCTGTCGCCTTTCCTCCCTTCCGTCGCCCTTCATCTCTCCCGTCTCCCTCCATCTCTCCCGTCTCCCTTCATCTCTCTCGTCGCCCTTTCTCTCTCCCGCCGCCCTTCGTTTCTCCCCTCCCATCACCCACCTCGGCGCCTTCGCGCTCGCCCTGAAATGCCTGCCCGTCGCCCTTCTTCTCTCCCCTCCCATCACCCACCTCAACGCTCGAGCTCCACCTCACGTCACCTTCCCCAATGTCTCTCCCAACACTCTACTATTCGGCTATTTTCGCTCACTCAGCTCTCTCCGTGAGTTTTATTTCCCTTTTTTTTATATCTAACTTGAAACTCTCTGTTTTTTCCTGCATTCTGGTTTTCCTATGTTGTTTTTGCCGCTCCAGCAAGCCCATATCTAAGGCGTTTGTTGTGCGTGAATTGCACACGCAACACTTGTAGAAATTGGCACACGATGTGATTGGGATTTGCACGTCGCAAACTTGCAACGCATTTGCACATGCTTGCGACTGTTCTGTAGTTTTTTTTGTGAAGACTTGAACGTGTGTGAAAAACAAAACAGAACAACACATCGACTTCCAGAAGCTTCACAAAGTTAGTTTGGGATTTCGAGTGCACCCACTAGAAGGGGGGGGGGGGGGGGGGGGTTCACTATTTTAGCTGCGGGTTTTCGCGCACCCTCACCTACTGCCTATTTCAAATCCACATAACTTGAAAATTTACCATGCTGACCCCGGGCTTTAAAGAGTTGACGCGAGGGGGTTTTCCTGGTCTGGGGTTTGGCGAATGATTCCGATTTAGTTTTCTTCGTTTTTTTCGCCAAACCCAGCCCCACCCTCGTATTTCGCCCTGGGGGTTGGACCAGTCTTTGAAAGTCCCACATTGCAGGTAGTTTTCAAAGCTTGCACACTCAATTCCTTCAAGTTTTAAAAGCTTGTCCCCCGCGCTCTGCAATTCGGGCCGCGGGCTTTAACCTAGGAAATGTTGTACCCTGAAATAACTGACAATATCTAACATTATAAACATTTGACAATGTTTCCTATCTGAAGAAGCTACGATAATAAAAGCAGATTACCGTAATCCCCCGTATATAGGACCCCCCCAGTTGTAGACCCCCGTGTCTATAATACGGACCCGGGTACTCTATTCGAGTACATCTGAGTTATACCCCCCTAAATGGCTCCTAACATTATAAGACCCCCCCACATCAGGCCCTCAGATTCGTTTTTGGGCTGTCTGATTCGTCAGACTTAGTACACATTTTTAGTCTGATCAATCAGACTTGGTACAAAAAAAAAATCTGAAATTTCAGAGTTCAATCGTATAAAAGTCTGATAAACCAAAGTTCACATCAGTAGTGAAGCTGATTGATCAGCCTAAAACGGGGTGATAACCTCGCCGCAGTGCTGTTGTCGATGTTTCAGTGTGACCAGGGCTGACTATTCAAAAAAATCCAGTCTGATGTTCTGGGGGCTTTGAAAATTTTTAGTCTGAGGCATATTTCCCAGAGAATGGCCACTCTGATTTTTCAGGTTCCGCAAAAACACAAGTCTGAAGTACTCAGAACACACTACAACCACTGCAGTACAGTACTGCCACAAATGTAGCACGTGGGGCGCAACGCTAACCAGTTTCCCTCGCTGACACCGCGTAGCTGCAGTGATGGTCCCGCGTGAGTGGAAGAGTGAGCCAAGTTGGCAGATTTCTAAGGGAAAAGGGTGGCAAAAGTTGCCAAGGACAGATTCTGCGCGTGACAGCGCCATGAAGTGTGTTCGTACACTGGCAACATATGACGTAGCGGAATGTACGTAGAAATCACAGATCCGCATTTCAGGATCCGTACTCCCTGTAGTATGAAGACCCATTATCGGCTAAGTCAGTACTCTGAAAATCTCAGGATCCAAAACCAAGTAAGTCTGAGGCACTCATGTTTGAAAATCTTACAAGTCTGAAAAATCAGGATCCGTAGGAAAATACCCTGAGATTTCAGACAATCAGACTATTTTAGTCTGATAAAGTCAGCCCTGACACGACAAATTTGTACTTCCAGCACTAATCGCGGCTGTCAGGTCAGTAGGTACCCGCTAAAACGCTCTTGGGATCAGAGTACACTCTGAGAAAAAGTCTGAAATATCAGACAAGGCATAGAATTTTTTTCTGAATATTCAGAGTTCACAGCAAAAAAAACGCCGAACTTTCAGAGTTCACTAAATAAAAAAGGGTGAATATCAGAGTTTTTTAGGCAAATCAGAGAAATTTCTCTGACTTCTGGGGGCCTGCCCCACATCCTAGAGAAGTGAGGATCTTACAAAAATGCAATTGAAAATGGTCATATTCCGAAACAGGAGGGGGAAGTGAAGTCAGCCCGATGAACAAGGACGTGCCAGAATACAGTAGGGGTGTCTGGAAGATTCCGCCCTTTCCAGGACATTGCAGCCCGCACGAAGCGTGCATGGGGTGTGAAGGCCGAGCCGAGGCCATCAAACGGTGCCCTGCGCTGTCGTGTGAACACCAAGTGGTGTTGGTGGCCAATGGGAGGAGGCTCCCAGATAGGGTTCGTGATGACGTAGGTTCGGCACGTGTGGAGACCAATTCGAGTATTTTTGGGAGGAGCTAAAAACGGAGCATTCCAAATCACTTCTTTTGAGCTCCAAAACTACATTCTTATAAATGTCAATATGAACAGACCCGGGTCTTCTAAAAATATATACCCTCCAGCCTTTTTAGGGGTGATTATCATAAGACCCTAGGGTCTTATATACGGAGGATTACGGTATAAACTCCAGCAGGCTCAACTACCACATGAAGATCAATGTGAAGAAAAGAACCCCAGTATGGATACACTATTTTCATTATTGCGAGTACGAATGGCAAGTCCAACGGCGTGGCATGTGTCATCATGTCCAACGTTGTTGGCAAGAATAGTTGCCTGGTTGACAGGGTGAGAACGGCAGCTTGTTTGGGGCTAGAATGGCTTCGGTTGTCAACACAAAAGGAGCTTTTCTTTGTGGAATCGCAAAATCAGCTTCAATCCACAATGCTCGAAACCCCACCTGCAAACGACACGCGCAGTGTATCAATCCATGTGAGTAGCACTATGGTTCTTTCCTTCTCTCTCAACAATCTCCTCCACGCAGAACATCCACAGGAAAATCAAACATGCTGGGTAAAGAATCACACCTAAAAAAACTGTCACACAATCACCTTGGGGAAGTCGCTCAGTCAGTCAACTTGTGACCCCTCACTATAGTCACCTTTGAAACACTGCAGTCACCTTGCGAAGCGCTTTCTTCAGAAGTTGAGAATGTCACTGATGGTCACCCCTAATATATATATATATGTATATATATTAAAAAAAAAACATACTAGTCACCTTGGGAACGCCGCTGATGGTGGAGCTGAAGTGCCACAAGCCATCCTCAGAGTGGTGCTTGGGCGGCGAGACGGTGTGCAGGAAGAATGGCGTGGCCTGCACACACAGGTCGAACTTGCCTGCATACGTGCCTGGCACCGTTGGCATGGGCGCCGTGCTGAGGAGGGGGAATGGGTTGGTGAGAGGGCGTGGGGGATGAAGGGAGAGATGTCAGCAGGTGCGGGGGGAAAATGACGTGGCCTGCACACACAGGTCGAACTTGCCTGCACACGTGCCCTGCACCATTAGCATCATGCTGCCAGCCGAGGGGGGGAGGAGGAGAGGGTGATGTGGTGTTGATAGGGTTGGGGGGATGAAGGGAGAGAAGGAAGCAGATGCAGAGGCAGATGGGGTTGGGCTGCACGAACAGGACATACCCCATACCACTCACCAACCCTTTGCACCACTCACCAACCCTTTGCACCACTCACCAACCCATTGCATCACTCACCAACCCTTTGCATCACTCACCATCCCTTTGCACCACTCCCCATCCCTTTGCACCACTCACCATTCCTTTCCACCACTCACCATCCATTTGCACCACTCACCATCCACTTGCACCACTCACCATCCACTTGCACCACTCACCATCCACTTGCACCACTCACCATCCATTTGCACCACTCACCATCCACTTGCACCACTCACCATCCACTTGCACCACTCACCATCAACTTGCACCACTCACCATCCATTTGCACCACTCACCATCCACTTGCACCACTCACCATCCACTTGCACCACTCACCATCAACTTGCACCACTCACCATCCATTTGCACCACTCACCATCCACTTGCACCACTCACCATCCACTTGCACCACTCACCATCCACTTGCACCACTCACCATCCATTTGCACCACTCACCATCCCTTGGAGCCTCGCTGCAGCACGAAGCGGAAGTCTCGGCGCTCGCTGGCTGTGCGGCCAGTCCTGGTGGGGGGAGGGGGAAGAGGGGAAGGGGAAATGGGGAAAGGGGGAATGGGGAAAGGGGGAATGGGGAAAGGGGGAACGGGGAAAGGGGAAGGGGACAGGGAATGGTGTGCGAGTTTTGGGTTGTTGAGGGTGGAGAGGGCTGAGTGAAGAGAAATACAGCCCAAAAGCCATAATGCACATCCGTAAATGTGATCCCACGTTATGTGTGATCCCATAAAACGTGCAATCCCATAAAACGTGCAATCCCATGAAACGTGCAATCCCATGAAACTTACAGAAGGCAGAACAAGAGGTTGACTGGCAGCAGCAGCCGTACACTCACCCATCTTCGCAATCGCTTCTTCCCTTCCAACCTCCTCCCCTCCCTCGCCCTTCCCCTCCCAATCCCCCTCCCCCTCCCCGTCCCCTTCCCCCTCCCCTTCCCCCTCCCCCTCTTCTCCCTCCCCTTCCCCCTTCCCCCTCCCCCTCTTCCCCTCATCCCCTCTCACCCGCTTCTGCTTTTTCTCACCCTGCCCCTTCCCCCTCCACTTTACTTATTCCCAACCCTCTCCCCCTTGCCCTCCCCTGTTTCCCTCCACTTCCTGACCTCTCTGCTCCCCCTCCCCCTCACCATGCTCTAACCGCGAGCGGCTTCCTGTCTGACGTGGCATGAATGGTGAACGTGGACCAATCAAACCGCCACCTCAGCTTAGGCCAGTCGACAGCTGGCAGCTCCGGTATGCAGCCCCAGGGATGCGGTGGCTGCTCCTGATTGGTCAGCGCGTCACCTTCTGACCCTCCCACCCCCCCTTCTCCTGTCTGAGCCTCTGCCGTCTCCCTTTCGGCCGTTTCCCTTTCCTCCCGGGCAAACAGCCCCGTGCCCTCTGTTTTGTCGAAGCGCTTGCGGCGGCGGGGAGAAGGGGGGGCGTTGGAGGGGCGCGTCCAGGTGAGGGAGGGGCGGGAGGAGGCGGGGAGCGAGGCGCAGGAGGAGTTGACATGCAGGAGAGAGGCGAGGAAGGAAAGGGTTGCTTGGTTGGCCTGGAGTGTGGTTTGAAGAGGGGGGTTGGAGAGGGGGGTTGGAGAGGGGGGTTGGAGAGGGGGGGTGGAGAGGGGGGGTGGAGAGGGGGGGTGGAGAGGGGGGGTGGAGAGGGGGGGTGGAGAGGGAGGGTGGAGAGGGGGGGTGGAGAGGGGGGATGGAGAGGGGGGGTGGAGAGGGGGGGTGGAGAGGGGGGGTGGAGAGGGAGGGTGGAGAGGGGGGGTGGAGAGGGGGGGTGGAGAGGGGGGGTGGAGAGGGGGGGTGGAGAGGGGGGGTGGAGAGGGGGGGTGGAGAGGGGGGGTGGAGAGGGGGGGTGGAGAGGGGGGGTGGAGAGGGGGGGTGGAGAGGGGGGGTGGAGAGGGGGGGTGGAGAGGGGGGGTGGAGAGGGGGGGTGGAGAGGGGGGGTGGAGAGGGGGGGTGGAGAGGGAGGGTGGAGAGGGGGGGTGGAGAGGGGGGGTGGAGAGGGGGGGTGGAGAGGGGGGTGGAGAGGGGGGGTGGAGAGGGGGGGTGGAGAGGGAGGGTGGAGAGGGGGGGTGGAGAGGGGGGGTGGAGAGGGGGGGTGGAGAGGGGGGGTGGAGAGGGGGGCGCTGAGGGTTTCGGGAAAGAGGGCATGGGGGAGTATGGGGGAAGTGTGATGTTGGCAATCAAGCTTGCATACATGAAATCGCACCTACACGTGCTCAGGAGGAGTTGGAGAGGAGGGAAAGGAAGGAAAGGTTGGCTCTCCAGGGGGAAGCGAGAGAGGATGTGCTCACCCAGCGGTTGACGCGGATCTGCATGTGCTCACCCATTGGTTGACGCGGATCTGCATGTGCTCACCCATTGGTTGACGTGGATCTGCATGTGCTCACCCATTGGTTCACGTGGATCTGCATGTGCTCACCCATTGGTTCACGTGGATCTGCATGTGCTCACCCATTGGTTCACGTGGATCTGCATGTGCTCACCCATTGGTTCACGTGGATCTGCATGTGCTCACCCATTGGTTCACGTGGATCTGCATGTGCTCACCCATTGGTTGACGTGGATCTGCATGTGCTCACCCATTGGTTCACGTGGATCTGCATGTGCTCACCCATTGGTTGACGTGGATCTGCATGTGCTCACCCATTGGTTGACGTGGATCTGCATGTGCTCACCCATTGGTTCACGTGGATCTGCATGTGCTCCGAGTTGGCCATTATCTTGAGCAGCTTTGGCTCGGGCATGTCGTTCCACCAGATGTACCTGCCGGGGAGGGATGGAGGAGGTGGGAGAGTGGGGGGAACAAAGGCGGCAGGGGAGAATGGGCAGGTTGGGGAGAATGGCAGGTTGGGGAGAATGGCAGGTTGGGGAGAATGGCAGGTTGGGGAGAATGGCAGGTTGGGGAGAATGGCAGGTTGGGGAGAATGGCAGGTTGGGGAGAATGGCAGGTTGGGGAGAATGGCAGGTTGGGGAGAATGGCAGGTTGGGGAGAATGGCAGGTTGGGGAGAATGGCAGGTTGGGGAGAATGACAGGTTGGGGAGAATGGCAGGTTGGGGAGAATGGCAGGTTGGGGAGAATGACAGGTTGGGGAGAATGACAGGTTGGGGAGAATGGCAGGTTGGGGAGAATGACAGGTTGGGGAGAATGACAGGTTGGGGAGAATGGCAGGTTGGGGAGAATGGCAGGTTGGGGAGAAGGGCCGGTTGGGGAGAGCAGCTTTGGCTCGGGCATGTCGTTCCGCCAGATGTACCTGCCAGGGCAGGCTAGAGAGAGGGGAGGGGGGAGAGGGGGAAGGGGGAAGAGGGGGGAGTGGGGGAGAGCGGGGCAAAGGAGAATGGGGGGGTAGTGGAGAGCAGCTTTGGCTCGGGCATGTCATTCCACCAGGTGCACCTGGCAGGGCAGGGTAGAGAGTGGAGAACCGGAATGTGGCCCCACGCACCACATGAAACCAAGAAAGGAAGGACCCGGGGGTGGGAGAGGAGAAAAGGGCCTGAGAAGGACCAGGGGAAAACGAGTGGTGGATGGAAGAGAATGGGCAAATAAAGGGCGGAGGTCACGTGTGCTGCTGTTATCAACTCAAAAGGGGTATGTGATCACCCCACGCACGCATCACCCCACGCACGCATCACCCCACGCACGCATCACCCCACTCACATGTGATTGGCACTAAATCCTAAACCATGAACCCTAATCCCCGCTCATGTGTCATCAGCTCACTAACGTGCCACCATCCCACTCCCGTGTCACAACCCTAAACCTTAAGGCCCACTCACGTGTCATCCCACTCACGTGCCATTAACCCTAAACCCTGAACCCGAAACCCCACTCACGTGCCACCAACTCTAAATCCTGAACCCTAAGCGCCTCTCACGTGTCATCCCACTCACGTGTCATCCCACTCACGTGTCATCCAGAGCCAGCACTTCATCGTTGGCGGCACTGACGAGCAGCTTGGGCATGGTGAGGCGCTCCCTGTAGTAGTATGGGTCCGTGTCCTCCTGCAGTCAGCCAGCCAAGGGGTGATGTGGGCAGCAAGGGGTGATGTGGGCAGCAAGGGGTGATGTGGGCAGCAAGGGGCGATGTGGGCAGCAAGGGGCGATGTGGGCAGCAAGGGGCGATGTGGGCAGCAAGGGGCGATGTGGGCAGCAAGGGGCGATGTGGGCAGCAAGGGGCGATGTGGGCAGCAAGGGGCGATGTGGGCAGCAAGGGGCGATGTGGGCAGCAAGGGGCGATGTGGGCAGCAAGGGGCGATGTGGGCAGCAAGGGGCGATGTGGGCAGCAAGGGGCGATGTGGGCAGCAAGGGGCGATGTGGGCAGCAAGGGGCGATGTGGGCAGCAAGGGGCGATGTGGCAGCAAGGGGCGATGTGGGCAGCAAGGGGCGATGTGGGCAGCAAGGGGCGATGTGGGCAGCAAGGGCGATGTGGGCAGCAAGGGGCGATGTGGGCAGCAAGGGGCGATGTGGGCAGCAAGGGGCGATGTGGGGCAGCAAGGGGCGATGTGGGCAGCAAGGGGCGATGTGGGCAGCAAGGGGCGATGTGGGCAGCAAGGGGCGATGTGGGCAGCAAGGGGCGATGTGGGCAGCAAGGGGCGATGTGGGCAGCAAGGGGCGATGTGGGCAGCAAGGGGCGATGTGGGCAGCAAGGGGCGATGTGGGCAGCAAGGGGCGATGTGGGCAGCAAGGGGCGATGTGGGCAGCAAGGGGCGATGTGGAGCAAGGGGCGATGTGGCAGCAAGGGGCGATGTGGGCAGCAAGGGGCGATGTGGGCAGCAAGGGGCGATGTGGGCAGCAAGGGGCGATGTGGGCAGCAAGGGGCGATGTGGGCAGCAAAGGGGGCGATGTGGGCAGCAAGGGGCGATGTGGGCAGCAAGGGGCGATGTGGGCAGCAAGGGGCGATGTGGGCAGCAAGGGGCGATGTGGGCAGCAAGGGGCGATGTGGGCAGCAAGGGGCGATGTGGGCAGCAAGGGGCGATGTGGGCAGCAAGGGGCGATGTGGGCAGCAAGGGGCGATGTGGGCAGCAAGGGGCGATGTGGGCAGCAAGGGGCGATGTGGGCAGCAAGGGGCGATGTGGGCAGCAAGGGGCGATGTGGGCAGCAAGGGCGATGTGGGCAGCAAGGGGCGATGTGGGCAGCAAGGGGCGATGTGGGCAGCAAGGGGCGATGTGGGCAGCAAGGGGCGATGTGGGCAGCAAGGGCGATGTGGGCAGCAAGGGGCGATGTGGGCAGCAAGGGGCGATGTGGGCAGCAAGGGGCGATGTGGGCAGCAAGGGGCGATGTGGGCAGCAAGGGGCGATGTGGGCAGCAAGGGGCGATGTGGGCAGCAAGGGGCGATGTGGGCAGCAAGGGGCGATGTGGGCAGCAAGGGGCGATGTGGGCAGCAAGGGGCGATGTGGGCAGCAAGGGGCGATGTGGGCAGCAAGGGGCGATGTGGGCAGCAAGGGGCGATGTGGGCAGCAAGGGGCGATGTGGGCAGCAAGGGGCGATGTGGGCAGCAAGGGGCGATGTGGGCAGCAAGGGGCGATGTGGGCAGCAAGGGCGATGTGGGCAGCAAGGGGCGATGTGGGCAGCAAGGGGCGATGTGGGCAGCAAGGGGCGATGTGGGCAGCAAGGGGCGATGTGGGCAGCAAGGGGCGATGTGGGCAGCAAGGGGCGATGTGGGCAGCAAGGGGCGATGTGGGCAGCAAGGGGCGATGTGGGCAGCAAGGGGCGATGTGGGCAGCAAGGGGCGATGTGGGCAGCAAGGGGCGATGTGGGCAGCAAGGGGCGATGTGGGCAGCAAGGGGCGATGTGGGCAGCAAGGGGCGATGTGGGCAGCAAGGGGCGATGTGGGCAGCAAGGGGCGATGTGGGCAGCAAGGGGCGATGTGGGCAGCAAGGGGCGATGTGGGCAGCAAGGGGCGATGTGGGCAGCAAGGGGCGATGTGGGCAGCAAGGGGCGATGTGGGCAGCAAGGGGCGATGTGGGCAGCAAGGGGCGATGTGGGCAGCAAGGGGCGATGTGGGCAGCAAGGGGCGATGTGGGCAGCAAGGGGCGATGTGGGCAGCAAGGGGCGATGTGGGCAGCAAGGGGCGATGTGGGCAGCAAGGGGCGATGTGGGCAGCAAGGGGCGATGTGGGCAGCAAGGGGCGATGTGGGCAGCAAGGGGCGATGTGGGCAGCAAGGGGCGATGTGGGCAGCAAGGGGCGATGTGGGCAGCAAGGGGCGATGTGGGCAGCAAGGGGCGATGTGGGCAGCAAGGGGCGATGTGGGCAGCAAGGGGCGATGTGGGCAGCAAGGGGCGATGTGGGCAGCAAGGGGCGATGTGGGCAGCAAGGGGCGATGTGGGCAGCAAGGGGCGATGTGGGCAGCAAGGGGCGATGTGGGCAGCAAGGGGCGATGTGGGCAGCAAGGGGCGATGTGGGCAGCAAGGGGCGATGTGGGCAGCAAGGGGCGATGTGGGCAGCAAGGGGCGATGTGGGCAGCAAGGGGCGATGTGGGCAGCAAGGGGCGATGTGGGCAGCAAGGGGCGATGTGGGCAGCAAGGGGCGATGTGGGCAGCAAGGGGCGATGTGGGCAGCAAGGGGCGATGTGGGCAGCAAGGGGCGATGTGGGCAGCAAGGGGCGATGTGGGCAGCAAGGGGCGATGTGGGCAGCAAGGGGCGATGTGGGCAGCAAGGGGCGATGTGGGCAGCAAGGGGCGATGTGGGCAGCAAGGGGCGATGTGGGCAGCAAGGGGCGATGTGGGCAGCAAGGGGCGATGTGGGCAGCAAGGGGCGATGTGGGCAGCAAGGGGCGATGTGGGCAGCAAGGGGCGATGTGGGCAGCAAGGGGCGATGTGGGCAGCAAGGGGCGATGTGGGCAGCAAGGGGCGATGTGGGCAGCAAGGGGCGATGTGGGCAGCAAGGGGCGATGTGGGCAGCAAGGGGCGATGTGGGCAGCAAGGGGCGATGTGGGCAGCAAGGGGCGATGTGGGCAGCAAGGGGCGATGTGGGCAGCAAGGGGCGATGTGGGCAGCAAGGGGCGATGTGGGCAGCAAGGGGCGATGTGGGCAGCAAGGGGCGATGTGGGCAGCAAGGGGCGATGTGGGCAGCAAGGGGCGATGTGGGCAGCAAGGGGCGATGTGGGCAGCAAGGGGCGATGTGGGCAGCAAGGGGCGATGTGGGCAGCAAGGGGCGATGTGGGCAGCAAGGGGCGATGTGGGCAGCAAGGGGCGATGTGGGCAGCAAGGGGCGATGTGGGCAGCAAGGGGCGATGTGGGCAGCAAGGGGCGATGTGGGCAGCAAGGGGCGATGTGGGCAGCAAGGGGCGATGTGGGCAGCAAGGGGCGATGTGGGCAGCAAGGGGCGATGTGGGCAGCAAGGGGCGATGTGGGCAGCAAGGGGCGATGTGGGCAGCAAGGGGCGATGTGGGCAGCAAGGGGCGATGTGGGCAGCAAGGGGCGATGTGGGCAGCAAGGGGCGATGTGGGCAGCAAGGGGCGATGTGGGCAGCAAGGGGCGATGTGGGCAGCAAGGGGCGATGTGGGCAGCAAGGGGCGATGTGGGCAGCAAGGGGCGATGTGGGCAGCAAGGGGCGATGTGGGCAGCAAGGGGCGATGTGGGCAGCAAGGGGCGATGTGGGCAGCAAGGGGCGATGTGGGCAGCAAGGGGCGATGTGGGCAGCAAGGGGCGATGTGGGCAGCAAGGGGCGATGTGGGCAGCAAGGGGCGATGTGGGCAGCAAGGGCGATGTGGGCAGCAAGGGGCGATGTGGGCAGCAAGGGGCGATGTGGGCAGCAAGGGGCGATGTGGGCAGCAAGGGGCGATGTGGGCAGCAAGGGGCGATGTGGGCAGCAAGGGGCGATGTGGGCAGCAAGGGGCGATGTGGGCAGCAAGGGGCGATGTGGGCAGCAAGGGCGATGTGGGCAGCAAGGGGCGATGTGGGCAGCAAGGGGCGATGTGGGCAGCAAGGGGCGATGTGGGCAGCAAGGGGCGATGTGGGCAGCAAGGGGCGATGTGGGCAGCAAGGGGCGATGTGGGCAGCAAGGGGCGATGTGGGCAGCAAGGGGCGATGTGGGCAGCAAGGGGCGATGTGGGCAGCAAGGGGCGATGTGGGCAGCAAGGGGCGATGTGGGCAGCAAGGGGCGATGTGGGCAGCAAGGGGCGATGTGGGCAGCAAGGGGCGATGTGGGCAGCAAGGGGCGATGTGGGCAGCAAGGGGCGATGTGGGCAGCAAGGGGCGATGTGGGCAGCAAGGGGCGATGTGGGCAGCAAGGGGCGATGTGGGCAGCAAGGGGCGATGTGGGCAGCAAGGGGCGATGTGGGCAGCAAGGGGCGATGTGGGCAGCAAGGGGCGATGTGGGCAGCAAGGGGCGATGTGGGCAGCAAGGGGCGATGTGGGCAGCAAGGGGCGATGTGGGCAGCAAGGGGCGATGTGGGCAGCAAGGGGCGATGTGGGCAGCAAGGGGCGATGTGGGCAGCAAGGGGCGATGTGGGCAGCAAGGGGCGATGTGGGCAGCAAGGGGCGATGTGGGCAGCAAGGGGCGATGTGGGCAGCAAGGGGCGATGTGGGCAGCAAGGGGCGATGTGGGCAGCAAGGGGCGATGTGGGCAGCAAGGGGCGATGTGGGCAGCAAGGGGCGATGTGGGCAGCAAGGGGCGATGTGGGCAGCAAGGGGCGATGTGGGCAGCAAGGGGCGATGTGGGCAGCAAGGGGCGATGTGGGCAGCAAGGGGCGATGTGGGCAGCAAGGGGCGATGTGGGCAGCAAGGGGCGATGTGGGCAGCAAGGGGCGATGTGGGCAGCAAGGGGCGATGTGGGCAGCAAGGGGCGATGTGGGCAGCAAGGGGCGATGTGGGCAGCAAGGGGCGATGTGGGCAGCAAGGGGCGATGTGGGCAGCAAGGGGCGATGTGGGCAGCAAGGGGCGATGTGGGCAGCAAGGGGCGATGTGGGCAGCAAGGGGCGATGTGGGCAGCAAGGGGCGATGTGGGCAGCAAGGGGCGATGTGGGCAGCAAGGGGCGATGTGGGCAGCAAGGGGCGATGTGGGCAGCAAGGGGCGATGTGGGCAGCAAGGGGCGATGTGGGCAGCAAGGGGCGATGTGGGCAGCAAGGGGCGATGTGGGCAGCAAGGGGCGATGTGGGCAGCAAGGGGCGATGTGGGCAGCAAGGGGCGATGTGGGCAGCAAGGGGCGATGTGGGCAGCAAGGGGCGATGTGGGCAGCAAGGGGCGATGTGGGCAGCAAGGGGCGATGTGGGCAGCAAGGGGCGATGTGGGCAGCAAGGGGCGATGTGGGCAGCAAGGGGCGATGTGGGCAGCAAGGGGCGATGTGGGCAGCAAGGGGCGATGTGGGCAGCAAGGGGCGATGTGGGCAGCAAGGGGCGATGTGGGCAGCAAGGGGCGATGTGGGCAGCAAGGGGCGATGTGGGCAGCAAGGGGCGATGTGGGCAGCAAGGGGCGATGTGGGCAGCAAGGGGCGATGTGGGCAGCAAGGGGCGATGTGGGCAGCAAGGGGCGATGTGGGCAGCAAGGGGCGATGTGGGCAGCAAGGGGCGATGTGGGCAGCAAGGGGCGATGTGGGCAGCAAGGGGCGATGTGGGCAGCAAGGGGCGATGTGGGCAGCAAGGGGCGATGTGGGCAGCAAGGGGCGATGTGGGCAGCAAGGGGCGATGTGGGCAGCAAGGGGCGATGTGGGCAGCAAGGGGCGATGTGGGCAGCAAGGGGCGATGTGGGCAGCAAGGGGCGATGTGGGCAGCAAGGGGGCGATGTGGGCAGCAAGGGGCGATGTGGGCAGCAAGGGGCGATGTGGGCAGCAAGGGGCGATGTGGGCAGCAAGGGGCGATGTGGGCAGCAAGGGGCGATGTGGGCAGCAAGGGGCGATGTGGGCAGCAAGGGGCGATGTGGGCAGCAAGGGGCGATGTGGGCAGCAAGGGGCGATGTGGGCAGCAAGGGGCGATGTGGGCAGCAAGGGGCGATGTGGGCAGCAAGGGGCGATGTGGGCAGCAAGGGGCGATGTGGGCAGCAAGGGGCGATGTGGGCAGCAAGGGGCGATGTGGGCAGCAAGGGGCGATGTGGGCAGCAAGGGGCGATGTGGGCAGCAAGGGGCGATGTGGGCAGCAAGGGGCGATGTGGGCAGCAAGGGGCGATGTGGGCAGCAAGGGGCGATGTGGGCAGCAAGGGGCGATGTGGGCAGCAAGGGGCGATGTGGGCAGCAAGGGGCGATGTGGGCAGCAAGGGGCGATGTGGGCAGCAAGGGGCGATGTGGGCAGCAAGGGGCGATGTGGGCAGCAAGGGGCGATGTGGGCAGCAAGGGGCGATGTGGGCAGCAAGGGGCGATGTGGGCAGCAAGGGGCGATGTGGGCAGCAAGGGGCGATGTGGGCAGCAAGGGGCGATGTGGGCAGCAAGGGGCGATGTGGGCAGCAAGGGGCGATGTGGGCAGCAAGGGGCGATGTGGGCAGCAAGGGGCGATGTGGGCAGCAAGGGGCGATGTGGGCAGCAAGGGGCGATGTGGGCAGCAAGGGGCGATGTGGGCAGCAAGGGGCGATGTGGGCAGCAAGGGGCGATGTGGGCAGCAAGGGGCGATGTGGGCAGCAAGGGCGATGTGGGCAGCAAGGGGCGATGTGGGCAGCAAGGGGCGATGTGGGCAGCAAGGGGCGATGTGGGCAGCAAGGGGCGATGTGGGCAGCAAGGGGCGATGTGGGCAGCAAGGGGCGATGTGGGCAGCAAGGGGCGATGTGGGCAGCAAGGGGCGATGTGGGCAGCAAGGGGCGATGTGGGCAGCAAGGGGCGATGTGGGCAGCAAGGGGCGATGTGGGCAGCAAGGGGCGATGTGGGCAGCAAGGGGCGATGTGGGCAGCAAGGGGCGATGTGGCAGGGCGATGTGGGCAGCAAGGGGCGATGTGGGCAGCAAGGGGCGATGTGGGCAGCAAGGGGCGATGTGGGCAGCAAGGGGCGATGTGGGCAGCAAGGGGCGATGTGGGCAGCAAGGGGCGATGTGGGCAGCAAGGGGCGATGTGGGCAGCAAGGGGCGATGTGGGCAGCAAGGGGCGATGTGGGCAGCAAGGGCGATGTGGGCAGCAAGGGGCGATGTGGGCAGCAAGGGGCGATGTGGGCAGCAAGGGGCGATGTGGGCAGCAAGGGGCGATGTGGGCAGCAAGGGGCGATGTGGGCAGCAAGGGCGATGTGGGCAGCAAGGGCGATGTGGGCAGCAAGGGGCCGATGTGGGCAGCAAGGGGCGATGTGGGCAGCAAGGGGCGATGTGGGCAGCAAGGGGCGATGTGGGCAGCAAGGGGCGATGTGGGCAGCAAGGGGCGATGTGGGCAGCAAGGGGCGATGTGGGCAGCAAGGGGCGATGTGGGCAGCAAGGGGCGATGTGGGCAGCAAGGGGCGATGTGGGCAGCAAGGGGCGATGTGGGCAGCAAGGGGCGATGTGGGCAGCAAGGGGCGATGTGGGCAGCAAGGGGCGATGTGGGCAGCAAGGGGCGATGTGGGCAGCAAGGGGCGATGTGGGCAGCAAGGGGCGATGTGGGCAGCAAGGGGCGATGTGGGCAGCAAGGGGCGATGTGGGCAGCAAGGGGCGATGTGGGCAGCAAGGGGCGATGTGGGCAGCAAGGGGCGATGTGGGCAGCAAGGGGCGATGTGGGCAGCAAGGGGCGATGTGGGCAGCAAGGGGCGATGTGGGCAGCAAGGGGCGATGTGGGCAGCAAGGGGCGATGTGGGCAGCAAGGGGCGATGTGGGCAGCAAGGGGCGATGTGGGCAGCAAGGGGCGATGTGGGCAGCAAGGGGCGATGTGGGCAGCAAGGGGCGATGTGGGCAGCAAGGGGCGATGTGGGCAGCAAGGGGCGATGTGGGCAGCAAGGGGCGATGTGGGCAGCAAGGGGCGATGTGGGCAGCAAGGGGCGATGTGGGCAGCAAGGGGCGATGTGGGCAGCAAGGGGCGATGTGGGCAGCAAGGGGCGATGTGGGCAGCAAGGGGCGATGTGGGCAGGCAAGGGGCGATGTGGGCAGCAAGGGGCGATGTGGGCAGCAAGGGGCGATGTGGGCAGCAAGGGGCGATGTGGGCAGCAAGGGGCGATGTGGGCAGCAAGGGGCGATGTGGGCAGCAAGGGGCGATGTGGGCAGCAAGGGGCGATGTGGGGGCAGCAAGGGCGATGTGGGCAGCAAGGGCGATGTGGGCAGCAAGGGGCGATGTGGGCAGCAAGGGGCGATGTGGGCAGCAAGGGGCGATGTGGGCAGCAAGGGGCGATGTGGGCAGCAAGGGGCGATGTGGGCAGCAAGGGGCGATGTGGCAGCAAGGGGCGATGTGGGCAGGCAAGGGGCGATGTGGGCAGCAAGGGGCGATGTGGGCAGCAAGGGGCGATGTGGGCAGCAAGGGGCGATGTGGGCAGCAAGGGGCGATGTGGGCAGCAAGGGGCGATGTGGGCAGCAAGGGCGATGTGGGCAGCAAGGGGCGATGTGGGCAGCAAGGGGCGATGTGGGCAGCCAAGGGGCGATGTGGGGCAGCAAGGGGCGATGTGGGCAGCGATGTGGGCAGCAAGGGCGATGTGGGCAGCAAGGGGCGATGTGGGCAGCAAGGGGCGATGTGGGCAGCAAGGGGCGATGTGGGCAGCAAGGGGCGATGTGGGCAGCAAGGGGCGATGTGGGCAGCAAGGGGCGATGTGGGCAGCAAGGGGCCGATGTGGGCAGCAAGGGGCGATGTGGGCAGCAAGGGGCGATGTGGGCAGCAAGGGGCGATGTGGGCAGCAAGGGGCGATGTGGGCAGCAAGGGGCGATGTGGGCAGCAAGGGCGATGTGGGCAGCAAGGGGCGATGTGGGCAGCAAGGGGCGATGTGGGCAGCAAGGGGCGATGTGGGCAGCAAGGGGCGATGTGGGCAGCAAGGGGCGATGTGGGCAGCAAGGGGCGATGTGGGCAGCAAGGGGCGATGTGGGCAGCAAGGGGCGATGTGGGCAGCAAGGGGCGATGTGGGCAGCAAGGGGCGATGTGGGCAGCAAGGGGCGATGTGGGCAGCAAGGGGCGATGTGGGCAGCAAGGGGCGATGTGGGCAGCAAGGGGCGATGTGGGCAGCAAGGGGCGATGTGGGCAGCAAGGGGCGATGTGGGCAGCAAGGGGCGATGTGGGCAGCAAGGGGCGATGTGGGCAGCAAGGGGCGATGTGGGCAGCAAGGGGCGATGTGGGCAGCAAGGGGCGATGTGGGCAGCAAGGGGCGATGTGGGCAGCAAGGGGCGATGTGGGCAGCAAGGGGCGATGTGGGCAGCAAGGGGCGATGTGGGCAGCAAGGGGCGATGTGGGCAGCAAGGGGCGATGTGGGCAGCAAGGGGCGATGTGGGCAGCAAGGGGCGATGTGGGCAGCAAGGGGCGATGTGGGCAGCAAGGGGCGATGTGGGCAGCAAGGGGCGATGTGGGCAGCAAGGGGCGATGTGGGCAGCAAGGGGCGATGTGGGCAGCAAGGGGCGATGTGGGCAGCAAGGGGCGATGTGGGCAGCAAGGGGCGATGTGGGCAGCAAGGGGCGATGTGGGCAGCAAGGGGGCGATGTGGGCAGCAAGGGGCGATGTGGGCAGCAAGGGGCGATGTGGGCAGCAAGGGGCGATGTGGGCAGCAAGGGGCGATGTGGGCAGCAAGGGGCGATGTGGGCAGCAAGGGGCGATGTGGGCAGCAAGGGGCGATGTGGGCAGCAAGGGGCGATGTGGGCAGCAAGGGGCGATGTGGGCAGCAAGGGGCGATGTGGGCAGCAAGGGGCGATGTGGGCAGCAAGGGGCGATGTGGGCAGCAAGGGGCGATGTGGGGCAGCAAGGGGCGATGTGGGCAGCAAGGGGCGATGTGGGCAGCAAGGGGCGATGTGGGCAGCAAGGGGCGATGTGGGCAGCAAGGGGCGATGTGGGCAGCAAGGGGCGATGTGGGCAGCAAGGGGCGATGTGGGCAGCAAGGGGCGATGTGGGCAGCAAGGGGCGATGTGGGCAGCAAGGGGCGATGTGGGCAGCAAGGGGCGATGTGGGCAGCAAGGGGCGATGTGGGCAGCAAGGGGCGATGTGGGCAGCAAGGGGCGATGTGGGCAGCGATGTGGGCAGCAAGGGCGATGTGGGCAGCAAGGGGCGATGTGGGCAGCAAGGGGCGATGTGGGCAGCAAGGGGCGATGTGGGCAGCAAGGGGCGATGTGGGCAGCAAGGGGCGATGTGGGCAGCAAGGGGCGATGTGGGCAGCAAGGGGCGATGTGGGCAGCAAGGGCGATGTGGGCAGCAAGGGGCGATGTGGGCAGCAAGGGGCGATGTGGGCAGCAAGGGGCGATGTGGGCAGCAAGGGGCGATGTGGGCAGCAAGGGGCGATGTGGGCAGCAAGGGGCGATGTGGGCAGCAAGGGGCGATGTGGGCAGCAAGGGGCGATGTGGGCAGCAAGGGGCGATGTGGGCAGCAAGGGGCGATGTGGGCAGCAAGGGGCGATGTGGGCAGCAAGGGGCGATGTGGGCAGCAAGGGGCGATGTGGGCAGCAAGGGGCGATGTGGGCAGCAAGGGCGATGTGGGCAGCAAGGGGCGATGTGGGCAGCAAGGGGCGATGTGGGCAGCAAGGGGCGATGTGGGCAGCAAGGGGCGATGTGGGCAGCAAGGGGCGATGTGGGCAGCAAGGGGCGATGTGGGCAGCAAGGGGCGATGTGGGCAGCAAGGGGCGATGTGGGCAGCAAGGGGCGATGTGGGCAGCAAGGGGCGATGTGGGCAGCAAGGGCGATGTGGGCAGCAAGGGGCGATGTGGGCAGCAAGGGGCGATGTGGGCAGCAAGGGGCGATGTGGGCAGCAAGGGGCGATGTGGGCAGCAAGGGGCGATGTGGGCAGCAAGGGGCGATGTGGGCAGCAAGGGGCGATGTGGGCAGCAAGGGGCGATGTGGGCAGCAAGGGGCGATGTGGGCAGCAAGGGGCGATGTGGGCAGCAAGGGGCGATGTGGGCAGCAAGGGGCGATGTGGGCAGCAAGGGGCGATGTGGGCAGCAAGGGGCGATGTGGGCAGCAAGGGGCGATGTGGGCAGCAAGGGGCGATTGGCAGCAAGGGGCGATGTGGGCAGCAAGGGGCGATGTGGGCAGCAAGGGGCGATCGTGGGGCAGCAAGGGGCGATGTGGGCAGCAAGGGGCGATGTGGGCAGCAAGGGGCGATGTGGGCAGCAAGGGGCGATGTGGGCAGCAAGGGGCGATGTGGGCAGCAAGGGGCGATGTGGGCAGCAAGGGGCGATGTGGGCAGCAAGGGGCGATGTGGGCAGCAAGGGGCGATGTGGGCAGCAAGGGGCGATGTGGGCAGCAAGGGGCGATGTGGGCAGCAAGGGGCGATGTGGGCAGCAAGGGGCGATGTGGGCAGCAAGGGGCGATGTGGGCAGCAAGGGGCGATGTGGGCAGCAAGGGGCGATGTGGGCAGCAAGGGGCGATGTGGGCAGCAAGGGGCGATGTGGGCAGCAAGGGCGATGTGGGCAGCAAGGGGCGATGTGGGCAGCAAGGGGCGATGTGGGCAGCAAGGGGCGATGTGGGCAGCAAGGGGCGATGTGGGCAGCAAGGGGCGATGTGGGCAGCAAGGGGCGATGTGGGCAGCAAGGGGCGATGTGGGCAGCAAGGGGCGATGTGGGCAGCAAGGGGCGATGTGGGCAGCAAGGGGCGATGTGGGCAGCAAGGGGCGATGTGGGCAGCAAGGGGCGATGTGGCAGCAAGGGGCGATGTGGGCAGCAAGGGGCGATGTGGGCAGCAAGGGGCGATGTGGGCAGCAAGGGGCGATGTGGGCAGCAAGGGGCGATGTGGGCAGCAAGGGGCGATGTGGGCAGCAAGGGGCGATGTGGGCAGCAAGGGGCGATGTGGGCAGCAAGGGCGATGTGGGCAGCAAGGGGCGATGTGGGCAGCAAGGGGCGATGTGGGCAGCAAGGGGCGATGTGGGCAGCAAGGGGCGATGTGGGCAGCAAGGGGCGATGTGGGCAGCAAGGGGCGATGTGGGCAGCAAGGGGCGATGTGGGCAGCAAGGGCGATGTGGGCAGCAAGGGGCGATGTGGGCAGCAAGGGGCGATGTGGGCAGCAAGGGGCGATGTGGGCAGCAAGGGGCGATGTGGGCAGCAAGGGGCGATGTGGGCAGCAAGGGGCGATGTGGGCAGCAAGGGGCGATGAGCCAGGCAGGAAAGAAGACATGAGTGAGAGGAAACGAAGCATTTGGGCATGGCAAGCACACGTTGAAGTCCAACCATTATATCTCGCACATTCTGCTACCTTGTGCTCACAACTAGCCTTTGGAACTCAGGCGACTGCAGCTGGAAGGTGGCAGCAAAGGTGGTGGTATTTGAAAAACACACGATTTAATAATGCCGTACACCACCTATGCCACCTCTGGTGCCACCTCTACCACCCTTGGTGCCACCTCTGCCACATTTAGAGTCACTTATGCCACCATCGGTGCCACCCATGCCACCTTTAGTACCACAAATACCACCTTCGGTGCCACCCATGCCACTTTTAGTACCACAAATACGACCTTCGGTGCCACCCATGCCACCTTTAGAACCACAAATACCACCTTCGGTGCCACCCATGCCACCTTTAGTACCACAAATACCACCTTCGGTGCCACCCATGCCACCTTTAGTACCACAAATACCACTTCGGTGCCACCCATGCCACCTTTAGAACCACAAATACGACCTTCGGTGCCACCCATGCCACCTTTAGTACCACAAATACCACCTTCGGTGCCACCCATGCCACCTTTAGAACCACAAATACCACCTTCGGTGCCACCCATGCCACCTTTAGTACCACAAATACCACCTTCGGTGCCACCCATGCCACCTTTAGTACCACAAATACCACCTTCGGTGCCACCCATGCCACCTTTAGAACCACAAATACCACCTTCGGTGCCACCCATGCCACCTTTAGTACCACAAATACCACCTTCGGTGCCACCCATGCCACCTTTAGTACCACAAATACCACCTTCGGTGCCACCCATGCCACCTTTAGTACCACAAATACCACCTTCGGTGCCACCCATGCCACCTTTAGAACCACAAATACCACCTTCGGTGCCACCCATGCCACATTTAGTACCACAAATACCACCTTCGGTGCCACCCATGCCACCTTTAGTACCACAAATACCACCTTCAGTGCCACCCATGCCACCTTTAGTACCACAAATACCACCTTCGGTGCCACCCATGCCACCTTTAGTACCACAAATACCACCTTCGGTGCCACCCATGCCACCTTTAGTACCACAAATACCACCTTCGGTGCCACCCATGCCACCTTTAGTACCACAAATACCACCTTCGGTGCCACCCATGCCACCTTTAGTACCACAAATACCGCCTTCGGTGCCACCCATGCCACCTTTAGTACCACAAATACCACCTTCGGTGCCAACCGTGCCACCTTTGGTGCTGCCTATGTCACTTTTGCTGCCACCCATGCCACCTTGGTGCCACCTATGCCACCTTGGTGCCACCTATGCCACCTTGGTGCCACCTATGCCACCTTGGTGCCACCTATGCCCCACCTCTCTCTCGCTCACTCCCACCCGGTGCTTACAGTGAGCCTCTGGAACTGGGGCGATTGCAGCTGTTCGGTGACGTTGAAGATGGCGTAGAACTTGAGGATGACCGGCCACGCGCCCAGCGAGTCGTGCAGGTGCTGGAAGTTGCGCCCAAAGTCCAGCAGGTCAAAGCCGTACGCCACTATGCCCACCACCCTCTGCAGTGGGAAGACAAAACACGGGGGAAAGAAAGTGGAAAAAAAAAAAAACGCACAGCGATGCGCGCATGCATGGATGGTTAAATGAATGAAACGAGAAAACATATATATATCCCAGGCTGGGTTGAGACGTGTCACTGGGAGACAAGCAAGAGTGCACTGCAAACCATCATCACCATTCCTCTTGATGTTCCCTTGCTGCACACCACTGCTGCGATGGTAGATGCCATGCAATGGTAGACCGTGTGATGCCATGCAATGGTAGACCATGTGATGCCATGCAGGTGGGTCCAACAGGCATGCCCGCCCTTCTCACTTTATCCATAGCGGCCGTCAGCCATGCCATGAGTCCTCTCTTGCTCACTCCCATGACCACAAAGCCTTCCACCTGTCCCATGCCATCCCACACACCCCATGCCACCCCGTCCCACAGTACCCATCCCACACATCCCATGCAAAGAACCGCAGAACACTCAGCACATGCTACACACCACATGCCACAGGCATCCAATGCCGCACCACGCACCACCACATCACATTCCATGTTTGATACATGCCACATCAGAACCGAGAGGTGTAAAGTGTATGTACAATCTAACTAACCAGAGCATACGCACAGTCCAGGCAGCTCGTGACTAGTCAGTGACTGTAACACATTGCACTGACTGGCACGTCACAAGTGGCAGTGACCAGAGCAGCAGTGACCGGCAGCAAGCAGAGCAGCAGTGACCGGCAGCAAGCAGAGCAGCAGTGACCGGCAGCAGGCAATCAGAGCGGCAGTGACTGACCGGGAGGTGCGGAAAGATCTCTCTGGAGGCGAGCTGCAGCGCATCCATTCCCCTCACGATGGACTTGGCCATGGGCACTGAGAGCTGCCACTCTATCTCATCTGAATGCTTCAACGCCATTGCAAAGGAGACTGGAATAGGGGAGCATACATGCATGGATGGATGGATGGATGGATGGATGGATGGATGGATGGATGGATGGATGGATGGATGGATGGATGGATGGATGGATGGATGGATGGATGGATGGATGGATGGATGGATGGATGGATGGATGGACGGACGGACAGACGGACGGACGGATGGACGGACGGACGGATGGACGGACGGATGGATGGATGAACGTGAGATTTTATTGAATAATGCATGCATGGATGATAAAATCCTCAACATCTTGTGCGCTCACACGTGTAAAAGCATAAGCACGGCGGGCTGGTTAACATGCAATCCCCACATGCCCTCTCTTGAGTCTTGAACACATATGCAATCGCTTGGACTCACCCACACACCATCGCCGCACTCACTCACGCTATCACCGCACTCACTCACTCACACGCCATCAGCTCGTCTTCTTCCAAATCTTTGAAATTGCCTGGCCCGTTAGGCCCCACATAGAAAGACATCGGCTCCATTGGCTGCTGATGCAGCACTGCTCCCAGCATCCCCAGCTCCACTACCAGACTGCCACGTGGCATGCCATGTCATGGACAACACACAAGAGCACCAAATATGGGGACAGGCAGGTGACGGGTGAGGCAATGGTGCTTTTCTGACTGACGGGCGTTATAGCACTTGGAAGGTAGGAACTACCAGCTCCAGTGCTACGATGCCACGCGGCACGCACTGAATGGCATGTAAGAGCGCCAGGAAGAGCGCAGCACAGGACCAGACCAACTCAACAAACACCCCTGGCCGGATATGCCTGCATTGCTGCCCTAACCATTGCTTACTCCCCCATGACATTCTATGCACCATTCCGTGGCCAGGCCGCATCCCTGCCACTCCGCCTGATCACACCAAGACCTTCCAGGGTCCACCGTGCATGCACACTAAAAAATGCTTCAGGTATAGCGGCGGCAGCAGCAGCAGCAGCAGCAGCAGCAGCAGCAGCAGCAGCAGCAGCAGCAGCAGCAGCAGCAGCAGCAACAGCAACAGCAGCAGCAGCAACAGCAGCAACAGAAGCAACAGCAGCAGCACGGGGCAAAGGCAGCACGTACGGGGCAAAGGCAGCACGTACGGGGCAAAGGCAGCACGTACGGGGCAAAGGCAGCACGTACGGGGCAAAGGCAGCACGTACGGGGCGAAGGCAGCACGTATGGGGCAAAGGCAGCACGTACGGGGCAAAGGCAGCACGTACGGGGCGAAGGCAGCACGTACGGGGCAAAGGCAGCACGTACGGCGCAAACGCAGCGGTAAACATCTCGTCCTTGTCAGGCACGTGGTGGAAGTAGAACTGCGACCACCCCGACCCGATCACAAACAGCACCAGCCCCTTGTGTGCGTTGTGCATGTCGTCCGGCGCCTGTGTGGAGGAGTGCATTGCGGTTGAGAGGGGTGTGAAAAATGGAGTGTTAAGTTGACCCGATCACAAACAGCACGAGCCCCTTGTGTGCGTTGTGCATGTCGTCCGGCGCCTGTGTGGAGTGGAGGAGAGCATGGAGTTGAGAGGGGGGTGCAACAGTGAGCGGAGTGGAGGAGTGTTGAGTAGAGTCCACCCCGACCCACCCGATGACAAAAAGCACGAGCCCCCTTTGTGCGCGTTGTGTGCATGTCGTCAGGCGCCTGTGGGAACGGTGCACGACAAAAGGGGGAGACAACAGGAAAGTTAATAATAACTCCTTGAATAAAGACAGGCAATCAAGAGAAGGTGGTGGTGGGTGCCCTGGCCAAAGCAATCATACCCTAGTTACAAATCCACGTCTGACGCTTACAAAAGCGTTCCCACAGGCTCATCTCATATTACACTCACCTTCCACGATCTCAATCAGTTACCATGTTACCGTCGCAGCACTGCGTCTTACAATTACGGTCATCCAATGCCACCATTGGATGCGGTTCGTAACGGTCCTGTTGAACCAGCGGTGTGTGGTAACCCGCAGAATGTAACCCGTCCACCACCCCTTGGGGGCCTTGTCTCGCATGCGATTGGCCGAGTCCTCCCACCTGCTCCAACCCACGGCCCCATTCATCCGCGTTAATAACCGTTTCATTACACGTAGACGCGTACGCAAATGCAGCAAGAGAAATACTTTTGAGGAGATTTGCTGTATCGCATTAGCTAGTGAAGCAGGAAACACTTCGCTTAGAACCGTTTCAAGAGTTCAAGTTCACCTCTATTAAGCACAATATCCCCGATATAAGCTCACCAGAATTCTGAAGGATCCTGATCAGCATAAATGTATCGATCCAGTCGCTTCTCGCGGCAGTTCCTCGCAATTTCGCAACCACTCTGCGGGAAAGCGGAGGGAGGTGACGCAGGGCCCTTGGGGAGGAACGACGGCCAGAATGGCCGCACGAATCCTGGCGATAGGAGAAATGCGACAGCGGAAATGGACGCGACGATTGCGACGGCTGCGACGACAGAAGCTCCTTTTTGCGACCCAATCAAGTAGAAGCGCGTTAGCCAACGACTAATGAGCGACCTGTGCGGGCGAACCATGGCGGCTCACGACGATTACCGAACAGACGTTTACTATACTAGGTACTTGAAATTAGAAAAGGCATCTGTCACGGCGGTGTATCCGGCACAAGAGAATTTTGCTCAAATCCTCGGAAGCGCGGTTTGTTTTATTTTCGCCACGTGGCAAGCCTTCGATCGCGGGAACCGCCATCTGTTTTATTGTTACCACAAAGTTCAAGAGAGATTTAGTTAAGTTCTGTACCGCGCTGCCCGCAGGCAAAAATAAAACCCATTTGGGCATGGCATGTGTTAGGGAGGCATCAACCCTAAACACCTTGCCTCTAGGTGTTTAGGGTTGATGCATCCCTAACGCATGTTTTTCCTATAGGGGTTTTATTTTTGCCCGCGGGCAGGGCAGTACAAGTGACTCACTAAGCTTTACTATATTTCTCTTTAAAAAATGTGGGAACATAAAACAGATCGCGGTTCTCGCGATCGAAGGCATGCCACGTGGCGAAAATAAAACGAACCTCGATTCCGCGGGATTGAGCAAAACTCTCCCGGCACAAGCATCTCACCGGCGGTGTAAATGCGCTGCGTGTTTCAAACGGTTATTTGAACGAGTGGTTTGAACTTATAAATGTTCGCCCGCGCCTTAGCTCATAGTTGTACTCATTTTCCAACTTGGTGCTTGCACTTGTAATGAATTGTAATTCATTACTGTATCCGCGTTTTATGGAGTACAATAAGAAGGCCACGCGCCAGATGGTTCGGCCTACATTTTCGCAATCGAACCATTCCCGAGTCGCTCCCGCTCCAATCGCGCGACCTCGCCTAGCTAGGAAACTATTTATAAATTCTCTTCACTTCTCTTGTATCTTCACTCTTTAGTTCAGTATTATTGATATTGATTATTTTGCGTGCAAGTTCATTCATAACACCTGGTATCAGAGCTTCCTTCCTACCCTACCCCGCTTTTTAGAGTGTAATATCCATTGGGGGGGATGGACGTGGAAGGATGTCTTGGGGTCCAGGAGTCGCGTAGATCGGCCAGGCGAACATGTTAATTGCTCATCGCGACCATGTTTTTACGGGGCACTTCTTGGCACCGCCGAATCCTTGCCTTGAAAGGTCGCGATCGACCGTAACCTCCCTCTCCCCGGATAACGGACACCTGATCTGAGAGTACGACGGCTTATGCTGGCTTTGCTAGCTTGCCTGAACTTTATTATGCTATATCTAGCTTGGTTTTATTTATCATGCATAGATATGCTTGATTTCCTAGGTTTGGTGCATTCCTATATTTTATTATAGTTTTAGCACCGAACCAGGTTACGTATACGGAACTCAAGCTTTTTCGGTTGCTACCGAATTGCTTTCTACTGAGTTCGGGAAGGTTCTGTTCGAAACGTTTCGCGACCCTCAGAACATTCGCGTAACACCTTGGTAACTGGACTTGTGTCGAGACTATATATAGCCTCGTGTTGTACCCAGTGTTGATAGCTATATGGGACCTAGAAGCTCTAAGCACACCTTTAAATCAACGCTAGATATTGTGAAAATGAAACGAGGAATGGGTAGGAGCCATAGCTAGGTAAGCCCTAGCTAGGCAAGAGAGAATAAGCAAAGGAGGATGTTCACTAGAAAGCAGCAGAATGCATATAGGAAACCCTAGGGGGTTGTACTCGCTATAGAGTACCCCACTGCAGGCTAGAGAACAATAACATTCTGACAGATATTCCCCACGGGGTCACCTCCAAGGGTCCTTGGGTGCCTGGTAGAACCAGCCCTGATCCAAGGGTCCATGTTTGTGGAGGAACTTTTCAAGCGTGAAAGCAGTCGTGTGCACTAGAGCACTCCCAAGCTTATATGCGGAAGCGTTAACGATCGATTGGCTCGTATGCAGAAATTTCTCCTCCCGTCAATATGTCGATAGAGAAAATATCCACTCCAAAAAGTTGATTACAACTTAACACAAGCACACATTTATAGAACTACCAATGCATGAGCAAAGCAAACGCAAGGCAAACACTAAATCGTTATAGAACTGAAATAAAGGACTTCGCCATGTTGTCTTAGTAAAACGATTGTCAAACTTCAGCTGCATTTGGCTTGATCCGCTTCATTAGAATAACTGAATTCGAGTTGTACTTGATCCAAACGCCCCTGCTGATTCCCCTCGCGAGCACTCATGAATTCCCGTTAATATTCATAAAGCCTCGTGTGGGAAAATGTCAAACTTATATGCTATAGTCTTTCTAGGCTGTAGTGGGGTAGACAGTATGGGGTACAGCTTTCTAGGGTTTCATATTTGTACCCAACTCATTTCCTAGTTCATCATTCATTCCTCATTTCTTCACATGGTATAGAGCAGGTTCCCTAGTGGGAACTGTTCCTAGGGCCCACCACTGAAAATCGATTATTATTTTTTTCTGCCCGGAGAGCGAGTCGCTCCTGACCGAGGCGCGCCTTGTGTGCCGTCCTCCCCTTAGCGGCCCGTCGCGCCCTCTCACGGCCCCTCTCGCGGCCCCACCCTACACGGCCCCGTCGCCGCCCTCTCGCGACCCCGTCGCCGCCATTAGCGGCCCCGCCGCCGCCCTTAGCGGCCGCGTCGCCGCCCTTCGCGGCCCCGTCGCCGCCCTCTAGCAGCCCCGTCGCCGCCCTCAGCGGCCCCGTCGCCGCCCTCAGCGGCCCCGTCGCCGCCCGCAGCGGCCCCGTCGCCGCCCACAGCGGCCCCGTCGCCGCCCGCAGCGGCCCCACCGCCGCCCTTGCGGCCCCGTCGCCGCCCTTGTGGCCCCAACGCCGCCCTTGCGGCCCCGTCGCCGCCCTCTCGCGGCCCCGTCGCCGCCCTCTCGCGGCCCCGTCGCCGCCCTCTCGCGGCCCCGTCGCCGCTCTCTCGCGGCCCCGTCGCCGCCCTCTCGCGGCCCTCCTGCCGCCCTCTTGCGACCGCCGCCGAGCCGCCGAGCTGCCGACCCGCCGACCCGCCGAGCCGCAGCAGCCGCTGCCACCGTCGAGCCGCCACGGCCGAGCCGCCGCCGCAGAGCCGCTGAGCCGCCGCGAAGCCGAGCCGCCGAGCCGCCGCCGTGCCGCCGAGCCGCCACCGAGCCGCCGAGCCGCTGCCGCCCTCGAGTAGCGGCCGCCGTCGAGCCGCGGCCACAACTGCCGCTGCAGCCTTAACCAACGGTCTGGTAAGAGCACTTTCGCGCAGCACCTCTGCTACTGCGCCACCTCTAGCCTGCTGCTCTCACCGCTAGGCTGCTGCTGTAATGGCTACCCCCAGTGTCCTTACCTTTGATGGTGAGGGTCGAGCTGTTGACTTTGAGGTCTGGGTCGATGACCTGCAGCTTTTCCTACAGTGCGATAGGGCAGACGGTCTCTCCCTGTTCGATCTCACGTCTGGTGCCTCCCCTGCCCCGCCTGCTGATGCTGACAGCACTGTTCGCTCACAGTGGGCCACACGCGATGCTGCTGCCCGTCTTGCTGTGCACCGTCACTTACCGACCGCTGAGCGTGCGCACTTTAGTCAGTACAAGAGTGCTAAGACCTTGTACGACGCTGTAGTTGCACGCTACTCTTCCCCTGCCACTGCTGCCCTTAGCCGCCTCATGCTGCCGTACCTGTTCCCTGACCTCGCCGCTTTTCCCACAGTCGCTGACCTCACTACGCACCTTCGCACTAGTGACACACGCTACCGCGCTGCACTTCCTGCTGAGTTCTGCGCCAAGAACCCCCCCCCCCCCATGTACATCACCCTCTACTACATAGTCACCCGGCTCCCTGACTCCCTTCGCTCGGTCAGGGACCACTTCCTCTCTGTTTGCCCCACCACTCTCACCGTTGACCTCCTCGAGGAGCGCCTCCGGGCAGCAGAGAAGAGTATAGTCACTGTAGGAGCCTCTCTTGGTGACCCTCGTACCCCCTTCTTTGAGGGGTGTTCCCCCTCCCCCCTCTTGCCCTCTGTTGCCTCTGCTGCTGCGGCCGACCTAGTTGGTCTTGAGTCGGTCGGCGCGGCGTCTGCCCCTAGCGGGAGACGCCGCACTGGCAAGGGCAAGGGGGGCAAGGGCGCTGGAGGAGCTGGCAGGGGCGGTGGAGGTGGCGGTGGAGGCGGCGGAGGGGGTGGAGGTGGTGGTGGGGGTGGTGGCGGGAGTGGGGGTGTCGGTGGCGGCAGTGGAGGCGGAGGAGGCGGCGGCGGTGGCGGTGGGAGCGGAAGAGGCGGCGGTGGCGGCGGTAGTGGAGGTGGCGGCGGCGGCGGTGGCGCTGGTCGGGGTGGCTCTGCGCAGAGAGGTGGCTCCGGTGGTGGTCCGCACCAGCAGCAGCAGCGCGCTCGTGAGACCCCGTCCCCCCAGCAGCTTCGTGAGTGGTACGCTGCGCGTCAGCCGGGTGGGGGTGCTGGTCCTTGTACCTACGTCCTGCGTACCGGCGACCGCACTGGTGAGAAGTGCGGACGAACGCACCCCACCCAGCGCTGCTTCGGCCGCCTGACGGACGCTTGGCGTCTCCAGTTCCCTGTCACTACTGAGATCCCTCGCTGGGGCGAGCTCTT